ACACGCCTCAACGCCCGGCCGCCTTACGCATTCCGCCATGGCACGCACCTCTTGTCAATTCCCACACGCCTGGTCCTCCCACGCCTCGTCAATTCCCTCTATTCCGCTGTCCTGAAGGACCGTGCCTTCCACTGTACGTGCCCTCGATACCTCGTAAAACTCCCCCGCCCTAAATCTACCGTTCCCGCACTAATCCCTTTGCTTCAACACAACATAAAAGCAACCCTCGCCCCGCCATCGCCTTCCTTTTTCCCTTTTCCGCCACCTAACCTCCCCAATTCTTCCCGCCAACCTTCCCGATCCCTCACACCAGCCATGGCTTCCTTCCTAACACCGCTGGCCCTCCTTACGCTTGTGCTGGCCGTCTCTTGCATGCCGGCACCCACGTCCGTCCCCACTGCCGGCAACTCAACCGCCGCAATGGCTGAGAAAAGGAAACGCTGCCTCAATTCCCTCCCCCTCGTGTGCAACGTCGTTGCGACCAAGGGCTACAATTGCACCGGCTACGTCAAATTCGACCCCGTCTTCATCATGAACCGGCGCGGGATGCCCTCCTGCCACGCACGTGTCCGTGCAAACCTCAAAGGCTTGTCCCCCGGCCGCCACGGCTTCCACATCCACACCTACGGCGACATCCGCGGGCTGGACGGCTCCTCCACCGGTGGTCATTTCACTAACGTCAAGGGAGACGATCTTCCGCATGGGTATGCGTCGTCGCCCGCACGACACATGGGCGACCTTAACAACGTCATGGCCAGGGCGAATGGGGAGGCTAAATACTCTAGGGAAGATAACGTGATTAGGTTGGGCGCCATTCGGGGGAGGGGCATCACCATCCATCAAGACAGGGATATGGGGCCCGGCTCCCAGCCCTCGGGTGCAGCTGGGGATAGAGTGGGCACTTGTGTTATTGGGTATGCTAACCCGGACGCATAAGTAGGAATTGGGGATATGTAGTTGTGCAGAGTGCAAGTTTTTTTTTTTTCGAGTGCTTGTTGTAGAGTCGTGGATGCTAAGATTGAGGTATTTGGGGAGGAAGGCGATGTCACTGTTGTTAATTTTCTTGTAAACGAGAAGCCTGCGACTCCGACATCGAGTCTGCAGAAGTTTTTAACTCACTTGCTCCCCCTCTCTGTGCACATGTTCCTGTGCAGTAGATACCCTTGGTGCTCCCAGGGAAGCGCTGTAAACGCTGCGCATTCAGCGGACCTGTCCCGCCGTGAAGCGCTCGAGGATTCCCCAGTCAGTTTCCGCATCCAGAAATCAAGAAGGGAGATTGTGACGAAGTAAGTCTCGTGCCCCCGGTCGTCCCGCGGCGGCGGGGCGGCCGACGGCGCGCTTTTATTTGGTCCTGGCGCTGCTACCTACCTCAAATGGTGTGGTCTAGTCTGTGGCTGGCTTGTGGGTCATCACAGAGATTTTGCGTTTAAGGGGGCGATCAGGTTGCGGCGATCAGGTTCCGATTTCACCCGTCTGTTGCCACCAAAATGCATCCAGAAATCAAGAAAGGCAGTCTCTGTCAGCCGCCAGCTTACACCACCCGCGCCACCACCTTCTGTCAGCCCCCGCCATACTGTACACGACCCACTGCCTCCTTACACAATTCCTTACACCATCCCCCTTACAGCGCGCCGACGCAAATCTTCTTTTCGGCCCTTTCGGTTCGAATCAAGACCATCGCTGCGCTCATCCCGTCTCGCCGCCCTGCCAACCGCCACATCACCCCATGCCATGACGGCGTCCCCGCCGCCCGCGTCCGCGCCAGCGTCCGCACGCTCGGCCCTGCGCACTCTGCTGGCGCGCGGCCTGCCGCCGCACCACCCGGCCATCCTCACGCTGCTGTCGCTGTCCCAC